TACAAGAAATTACAAGGGGTCAAATTATACGCCCCTCAGACAGGGTTCGCAACTTGGGAGTCCTCCTGGACCCACAGCTGACCTTCGAACATCATTTGTCAGNCTCTTAAAATAACAGTTCAGGTAAGGCCAACTGTCATTTTCCGGAATTTGCAGGATTAGCCAGGAATGGGACATACCCAAGTTAACATCCCTCGGGGGGGGGGGGGGAACACTACGGGCCCTGGGTCCCTCATGCACTATCACCTGTTGTAACACTCTACGAACAAATACTGCATCAGCTGACGCATAAGCGTCCAATCTGTAGTGCCTGATAAAGGGAGACAGGGATGCCCATGTAGCAACCCTGCAAATATCCCAATGGGCGCCTGTGTGGCCCAGGCCGCCGGGGAAGCCGCACTCCTAGTGGAGTGTGCCGTGATGCCCTGAGGTACCGGCAGGTGCTGAGCCTCATAGGCCAGTGCAACGGCCAATTAATCCACCTCCCTATAGCAGAGAAGGACACTCTCTTTCCCAAGGAGGATGGGTAGAAGGAAACAAAAAGTGCCCAGGTACTGAGTGTCATTGCCTCAGTCCGAAAAGCCCTGGAGTGTGTGCTGCCTTGGTGGTTGATGTCGGCCTTCACCGCCATGTTGTCGGTCAGCACCAAAACGTCCCGGTCTCGAACGTGGTCCTTAAGTGCCGCAGTGCCAAGTGGATCGCTCGCAGTTCCAGCCAATTGATATTGTGCTGGAGGTCTGTCCACGTCCAATGGCCCTGCGTCATCTGAGACTCCAAAAGAGCCCTCCACCCATACAAGCTGGCGTCCATCATCAGGGTGAGGCGCTCTGGCTTCCTGAACTCGCAGCCCTTGTGTAGAGCTGGGGAGAGCCACTACTTCAATGACAGCTGCACCTGTGGTGTAACTGAAACCTTTCTCTTGGAGTTGGACCTCTGATGTGGCAGGAGACGACATTGGAGTGTCCTCGCATGCAGACGAGTCCAAGGCATCACATCTATGCAAGAAATGAATTTCCTCAGCAGGCTGAAGAGCACCACTACAGGAACACAACACTGACATCTAACTTGTTTAACTAAAGCCAACAAACTAAACTTACGGTCGTGGGATGCAACACCTTCCCCAACCTGGAATCTATGATGGTCCCCAGATGAAGAATCCTAGTGCTGGGAACCAGGGAACTCTTGTCTAAGTTCACTGAAAAACCTAACTGTTGGAGCGTAGACACTATCAATGAAATGTTCTCCCTTGTGTGCTCAAACGACGTCGCCTGGACCAAGATATCAGCGAGATAACATTGGATTCTGACGGAGCGCTCCCGGAGGAAAGCCGCAACCAGAACCTTAGTAAAGATCTGAGGCACGGACACCAGTCCAAACGGTAAGGCCCTATACTGATAATGCCTACCTAGATAGAAGAACCTGAGGTATTTGCGATGGCCAGTAAAATGGGAATGTGGAGATAGGCCTTCATGAGATCCATGGATGCCATGAAGTCGTTTTTCCTGATCCCTTCCAAAATGGATTTAAGGGATGCCATCTTGAACCTCCTGTAGACCAAATGGAAATTTAAAAGTTTCAGGTCCAGGATTGCCCCCCATTCCCTCAAACTTTTCGGAACCACGAAGAGGTTGGAATAGAATCCCAACCTGACTTGGTCCTGTGGGACCAATTCTACTGCCCTAATATCTAAAAGGTGTTGAATCGCCTGTCTCATGAGTAAGCGCTTATCCTTACTCTTGGCGGCAGAAAACGTCCGAAAGGGGTTTGGAGGAATGGAGAGGAACTCCAGATGCAGGCCAAATCTGATGGTATTTAGCACTCAGGCATCTGTGGTGACTTCGGCCCAGGTGTTAGCAAACAGGGCAAGCCTGCCACCTATGGGTGGGGTCGATGTTGACCTATCTGCCCCAGCGGTAGGGACGGCCACCTCCCCCCCC